CCCTTTTGAGAGTAAATTGCATACAGCCAGTGATGTGATTTTGTTCAAGGGAGAATATAGTCGGATTTGTATTTTAAGACAATCACTCATGGAGGGAGAGAGACTTTCAGGAAGACATTGTGGGGTTCTGGAAGTAAAATAATGAGTGATTAAATGAAGGCTGCATCTATGGAGATGAGGAGGAGGGAGTAGATTCAAGAGAGGAGTAAGTATTACCAACTGGAGTCACTATCTGAGAAACAGGGAAGACAAGGGTGGACCCTGGGATTTCATACTGGGTAACTGAGTGGTAAAAGTCCTGCCAAGGCAAGAGAATGATGATGATAACACAGCAACATGAATCATTGACATATATTAGATGCTAATTATATACTAAGCATTTTTGTAAAAGCTTTAGATTACAGGGGCCAAGAGCATACCACCCCAAGATAGGCCACTTTGGCAGGAACATTATTTTGAGTTAAAAGCAATCAAAACCCAGCAGGTTCAGGAAAAGCTCTTTACTTCCCCCTCAACTGCTTGCTTACCCCAGGAAGATAGCTATTAATAGAGATTCCTCTTTACCTAAGACACTTATCTACATAATAAGGCAACCTTTGTTTTCTAAACATCTTTCTTCCTCCTAATGGTATCCTCAGACCCTACCCCCTCCTTAGCTTAGTGTCAACCTTAGCTTAGTTTCAACCTCCCCTAGAAATGTAGTCTTAACTGAAGCCAAAGAGTCAGCACCAATGAGTGCCAGGAGGGCCCTCTGCATCCCCTAAAGATAAGGTAAATCTGCATAAGACCCCTTGCTTTTTCCCTAAGGGAAAGCCAGCTTGCCCCAGATAGTCCTTTTCTTTTGCTAATAACTTTCTTGCCCCACCCTCCTTCGATGAAAATACTACTTGCTAGATGGGATGCTGCCTGATTCCTGAATCATTTAATGAAGCCAATTAGACTTTTCAAACTTAATCTGTTGAATTTTTGTTATTTAACAATACATATTACATAAATATCGGTTTAGCTCACGCAGAAGAAAATTAAACCCCAAATACAAAAGAGTAAAAGATACTTTCAATCACAAATCTATTTCAAGTTATATGACACAAAATTAGATATGGAAATGACAAATCAATTTTATTTCTATTTTAATATTCAAAATGGTTTTAAACAATTGAGATGGCAATTGGTATCTCCTAGGCGCCCCCTTGTGGCTTGGCTTAGTGACTCCCAAATTTATCTGATGGGCAGAATCTACCTGGAGAACTTTATGAAAATAGTTTCCAAGGCTCCATCCACAAGTGATCAGAACAGGGTAGAAGGAGACCTATCTGTATATATAATCTTTTTTTTTTTTTAAAGATTTTATTTATTTATTTGACAGAGAGAGACACAGCGAGAGAGGGAACACAAGCAGGGGGAATGGGAGAGGGAGAAGCAGGCCTCCAGCTGAGCTGGGAGCCCGATGTGGGGCTCGATCCCAGGATCCTGGGATCATGACCCGAGCTGAAGGCAGTCGCCCAACCAACTGAGCGACCCAGGTGCCCCTGTATATATAATCTTTTTAAAGCTCTCCAAAGTGATTTTGATGACCAGCCACTGTAAAAACTGGCAGCTTAAAAATTTCCCTTTTCAATTTCACTTGAAACAAATTCAGAAACAAAGTTTTTAGAGCCAGAAAGAGACAGAGAGAGCATTTTGTCCCATTGTTTCATTTTACATGTGAAAAAACTGAAAGTAAAATTGAGAAAGGCCTTGTCCAAGGTCACAGAGGATGTAAACGGCAAAAGCAAGAGCGGAGTCTGACATCACCTGCTGGCTCTAAACTCAGCAAGGTTAATCCGAACAGTTCTGTCGCGTCCCAACCATCTCCACATGTTTATCCCTCAACTCCCTGAGAGCTCAAAGACCTTACACCTCACATCACTTCAGACTGAGGAGAATACAGGCAAAAATGCCAACACATATCTTTTGGAGGGAAATGCTTCCCTTTTTAATATTTGGCATGTCTTAAAGATTGATTTTTAAGGAGGCATGGGGAATGAAGCAGGATAAAATGTTCCCTACAGGAAAAGCCACCTGAATGAGCAGAGTCTCTCCTCTTTTCCAGGATTTGTCTATGTCAGATATTTAACATGTTTTGCCTGTTGTTCCACATTGAAAATTTTATTCCTCTGGGTCTTGAAACTTGAAAGTGCCGTCGCAAATGCAGCCTTCTGGGCAGAGCAGGCAGGAGGGTAACAGGAAAAACCCGCTTTCCAGTCTGACCCCAGACAAGGATTAGTTAGTTAATCCGCAGAAAGGGACTACAACATAGGCAAGGTGCTGCACGAGGAAAGGAATTTGGAAAGTGGAAAGAGGCCTGGGAAAATTTGTCTGCCTCGCCATTTTGCAAGGTGTAGCGCTGGTTATCCCCAGCATAATTACATTTCTGGGATTCCTTTGGGTTCTTTCCCTTTGATCTCTCTCAGTGCCCACAATTACTCTGAGAAGTTCTGGGCTCATCTCAAACCTTGCTTTTCCAAAAGTCAGACTAGCAGTTTGGGCATACCCTGGGAGCCAGTTAAAAATGCAGAATCTTGAGCCCCACCCCAAACCCACTGAAGCAGAATTGGCATTTTAACGAGATCCCCATGTGATTCATAGGCACATTAAGGACTGAGAAATGGTGCTCTAAAAAAAAAAAAAAAAAAGAAGCAAGAGTCCTGTGGCTGAGAGAGAAGCAAAAGGTCACCTAGGCCAGTTCAGAGTTTTCTCAACTGTATTGAAATCGAGGGTTTCATGGAATGTTTACATGATTCCAAGAAGCATAATTATCTTTTGCTGAAATTGTTGAATGTATAAATATTTTAAGCTTGAGGACTATATCGTGACCCAGTTTCTTTCTCTCTTCATTTTTTTTAAGTATATATATATATGTACATTTTTTTTTTTTTTTTTAATCTCTAGGGGCGCCTGGGTGGCTCAGTTGATTAAGCGTCTGCCTTCGGCTCAGGTCATGATCCTGGGGTCCTGGGATCAAGCCCCGCATCGGGCTCCCTGCTCAGTGGGGAATCTGCTTCTCCCTCTCCGTCTGCCTGCCGCTCGGCCTACTTGTGTGCCCTCTCTCTCTCTGTCAAATAAATAAATAAAATCTTTAAAGAAATAAAAATAAAAAAATAATCTCTAGACACAAAGTGGGGCTTTAACTCATGACCCTGAGATCATGGATTGCACACCCTTCCGAGCCAGCCAGGTGCCTCTCTCTCTTCCTTTAATTACACACTTAACTCCACCTATGGTTGGGCATTTGTTTCTAAATGGAATCAAAGGGAACTAGTTCAAGCATTGTCATTTGAAGTAGAAGCTCCCAGCATGTAATGAGTTGTGTGGACTTCAGCAAATTAACTGGCTTTCTTGAGCATTAGTCACCACAGTTAAGATGCAGATGCTACTGTCTACCCTGTGTATCTCCCGAGAATATTAAAGGATCAAAAGAATTCCTCATCTCTGGAAATGGCACTGCTGATTACTTTGTGGCTCAAATCAGAAATGTAGGAACTGAACTTCCCACATCAGGTCCATCGTCAATGAGTAGCAAGCTTATCACATCTCTCAAAACCTTCCATTTCTTTTATCTTCTCTGCCACTAATTTGGACTCCAGCCACTATCATATTTCACCTAAATGAGGGCCTCCTCTGGGGAAACCCGACCTCTACTGCCCTTCAAATCATCATATACCCTGAACTAGAGGCATTTTTTTTTTTAAGCACAATTTTGATCACAAAATTCCCCTATGTAGAACTCTTCAATGGCTTTCAAGGGCCTTGGGTCCCAAATCCCCATGTGACTCATTCATCTGGCCACCTTCTCTACAATCTCTTCTCTTGCCACTCTCTAATTACATTGATTTTGAAAATCAGAACTCGGGGAGCCTGGGTGGCTCAGTCATTAAGCGTCTGCCTTCAGCTCAGGTCATGGTCCCAGGGTCCTGGGATCAAGCCCCGCATTGGGCTCCTTGCTCCGCGGGAAGCCTGCTTCTCCCTCTCCCACTCCCCCTGCTTGTGTTCCCTCTCTCGCTGTCTCTCTCTGTCAGATAAATAAATGAAATCTTAAAAAAAGAAAGAAAGAAAGAAAATCAGAACTCATAGAACTTTATCAGGAAATAACTTTGTATCTGTCTCCCACTGTTCCTTTAACCTTTCCTGTCTCTTTTTTTCACGCTTGGATGAAGATGTCAGCAGTTGCAATGACTTTTTGGTTTCCTACTGGGTAATAGAAAAGATTATGGTCAACTTCCAGCGTCAAACACATTCTCAGTTCAACATTTCAAAATATCTAGTCCCATATAACACGGAAAACACCAAATTCAATTTAAAATGAAATTGTGCTCATCCCCAGGCTGGAGCCCCATGTGGGCTGGCTGCTTGTGTGGAGGAAGGGGCTAGGTCATGGTGCTTTCTCTCCTACACAGTACTCCTGCCTCCACCCCCTCCATTGTGCTCAATCTCTGACTCCACCAGGCGGTTGAAGCAAGGAAAGAGAGGTGAGGAGAGGATTCAAGTTTTTTTCCCCTGGCCACTATTATGGAAAGATGCCACACCAAATGTAGAAGTCAAGCTGTTCCCACTTCTGGCCTCTCTCCTACTGTGTAACCATGGACAACTACAATCATTTCACCTGTGCACTTTTTAAAGCATGACTTGACATCATCTACCATGTCCTCCAAATGCCATGTCCCTCAGGATACATATCAAATTCTCCTCCTGGTCCAACTGAAGTCCTTCTCTCCAATCTTGAGGTGAAAGGGTAGCATAGTACCTGCCCGCCCCCCCCTTTGGATGAGTTGAACGAAACAGTTCTCCCTCCAAAAAATCATCTCCACAAATCATTCTTGTGTTTCTGCTCTCTCAACTGTTTTATGTCCTTATGTGGCTAAGGGATTCCCAAGTCATATAACCAATGTCTGGATATTGACTTGGAAATTACTACAGGGTGGTCTGTCTTGAAATGTGCTTCAGTTTCAGAACTCTCTCACCTTAAAGTCAAAGCTTCCCTTTCATCACTGTGTTGCGTGGGATTCAGTTGGTTTCTTGAACACGCCACATTCTCATTGACTTCTTGGCTTTTAAACATGGTGTCTCCTCTTCTTGGGACACACATTATGCCCCATTCCTCCTCATTTGCTTCACCACATCTCATGTATCTGCAATTCCTCATTCACACTGTGGAAATAGGAGGGTTGAGAGAGCAAAGATAAAGAGAGGATTTGTGAGCCAAGGATATATTTCATAGATGAGGAAATCAGAAAAGCCAATAAAACTATGACAAGACATTCAACCAGATCAATTATGGAGAAGCTACAAATTGAAACTATAGGCTACTGTTTTCCATCCACCAAACTAGCAAATGAAATGAAGAAGCGTGACAATATCAAACGTTGGGATATACAAATGCTTAACTATTGCTGGTAGCACTGTAAAGAGGTCCGAACTCTTCAGAAAACAATTTAGCATTGTCTTATCAGGGTGAACATGTGCATACCCTAAAACTCAGCAATTTACTTCTAGGTAGTATGTACCTAGAGAAACATACATGTGATCAAGAGACATGTATAAGAATGTTCATGGTAGCACTGTGATGATCAAAAACTGGAAACAGGGCGCCTGGGTGGCTCAGTTGGTTAAGCGACTGCCTTCGGCTCAGGTCATGATCCTGGAGTCCCGGGATTGAGTCCCGCATCGGGCTCCCTGCTCGGCGGGGAGTCTGCTTCTCCCTCTGACCCTCCCCCCTCTCATGTGCTCTCTCATTCTCTCTCTCAAATAAATAAAATAAATAAAATCTTTAAAAAAAAAAAAACTGGAAACAATCCACATGTCTATTGATAGAATGGACAGTAGATTATAGTATGTTCATATGATGGGACACAATACAGCAGAGAAAATGAATGAATTATAGCTCTATGTGACAAAACAGATAAATCCAAGAGCATAATATTAAATTAAAAAAAAGCGGGGCACCTGGGTGGCTCAGTCGTTGAGCGTCTGCCTTCGGCTCAGGTCATGATCTCGGGGTCCTGGGATCGAGCCCCGCATCGGGCTCCCTGCTCCGTGGGAAGCCTGCTTCTCCCTCTCCCACTCCCTCTGCTTGTGTTCCTGCTCTTGCTATCTCTCTCTGTCAAATAAATAAATAAAATCTTTTAAAAAAAAATTAAAAAAAAGCATATTGCAGAAGAATACTTTCAGTATAATACCTTACATATAATGTTTAAAAACAAGGTTAGGGCGCCTGGGTGGCTCAGATGGTTAAGCGTCTGCCTTCGGCTCAGGTCATGATCCCAGGGTCCTGGGATCAAGTCCCACATCGGGCTCTCTGCTCCTTGGGAGCCTGCTTCTCCCTCTGCCTCTCTCTCCCTCTCTCTGTCTCTCATGAATAAATAAATAAACTCTTTAAAAATAAAAAAATAAAAAAATAAAAAAAATAAAAACAAGGTTAATAATATATTTTGTATATACATATACAAAGACATGTAATAAAGCCATAAAGAAAAGCAAGGAAAAGCTAAACAAAAAATTCAGGACAGTGGTTATTTGTAGGTCAAAGATACAGTGAAGAAACAAGACACAGAACTGGGTTAAAGATACATGAGTGTTGGGTGCCTGGGTGGCTCAGTTGGTTAAGCGACTGCCTTCGGCTCAGGTCATGATCCTGGAGTCCCTGGATCGAGTCCCGCATCGGGCTCCCTGCTCGGCGGGGAGTCTGCTTCTCCCTCTGACCCTCCCCCCCTCATGTGCTCTCTCTCATTCTCTCTCTCAAATAAATAAATAAAACCTTAAAAAAAAAAAAAGATACATGAGTGTTTATTTTATGATAGTCTTTATGATATTTCTATTTTATACACATTAAAGATATATGAATGACATATCCATAGGTGATTTTATATGTCTAAAATATTTGATAGTACAAATCAACAAAAAGTATGAGTTTAGGGGCACCCAGGTAGCCCAGTCAGTTAAGCATCTGACTCTTGATTTCAGCTCAGGTCGTGATCTGAGGGTCATGAGATTGAGCCCTGTGGAGGTCTCTGTGCTGGTTGTGGAGCCTGCTTAAGATTCTCTCTCTCCCTCTCCCTCTCCCCTCTCCCCTGCAGAAAATAAAAATTAAAATAAAATAAAAAATAAATAAAATGTCACTCCTTCAGTCAACTCTCATTTGACAGGCATTCTGATAATGAACGGATAGTTTTGATCATGCAAGTGAAAAATGGCATCTTTCTAGCCTCAGGAGTAGGCCTAATGAAGAGATTTCTGACCCAAGTTGTGCACTATGTAAGAACAGAGGGACTTAGGCGATGGACCAGAAAAATGTTTAATAAATAATGAAAATATGACCCTTGGCGCCAGTATGGTACTTAAGGCCATTCATACTCCCTTGCCATCCGCTGAGTCATTGCTAAGCTTGGGAAACATGAGTTCCTAAAGCTACCTGGAAGGCTGGTTATGTCATCTCTGGTTGAAATGGATCCCGAGATATATGTCATCTCCTGGGGGGAGGGGGCCTAACTCCTGGGAAGTGAGATATTACTTTGCTGCAGTTTGCAAAACAGATCTATTAGACTCCATTCCCAGAAACTGTCTCCTGAATGACTTAAAGCAGGGCTAAAGAAACAGAATGCATATTTTTAATTGATTCTTTCTTTGAGCCGAGTTCCAAGTTGCCTAATACATTTTTAAATTCCCAAAGAGCTAGTTGCATTCAGAGTGACTCCAAAAGAGTTGTTCTAATTTGGGATGTCAAAGGCATCACTGCCATACATCATCAGAACAACAGTTGCTTCTCTGGCTAATTGGGGGATATATGAAAAGCTGTTCTCTTCATCTTCCTCATCTGCCTTCTCCTTCACTTTATTGGGTATCAGTTCTTAAAATTAGGGGTATGAATATGATCTGTCCCCCTATTAATTCAGAAGTTAGGTCTTAGGAAGACCCTAGGATTTCAGAGCTAGCAGCTGGAGCTCAGAGTTCTTCCATGCATTTCCCAAGGTCATATCTTAGTGCAGTGGTTCTCAAACTGCCATGTGTAACAGAATCACTGGGAGGGCTTGTTAAAACACAGATTGCTGGGTTCCATTCCCAGAGTTTCTGATTCAGTCTCTGATGTATAGGATGGGGTCTGAGAATTCACATTTTTGGCAAGTTTTTGGCATTTTTGATGCTTCTGGTCCAGGGACCCCAGTGTGAAAACCACTGTCTTGTTAATTGAAGGACAAGGTATAGAGGCCGATGCTTAAGCAGTCCAGTACTTTCTCCAAGGAGGCTCTTCTACAGGGTATAGATTTCATGCTAACATTATAGAAACCAGAGGTTCTTTTCCTCTGGGACTTCTGAAAGGGGAGAATTGCATTGGAGTTAGAACTAAAAGCACGAGCTTTAGAATCAGAAAAATCTGAGTGAGGGATCTGCCAGTCCATGGTTTAGCTTTCTGACTTTGGGCAAGTTGTTTAGGTTATTTGAATCCCAGTTTCTTCATCTGTAAATCAGAAATTAGTTCTAACAATTTGAGACTTCTGAAGAATAGTCCAAGAACTATTTGACATAGAGTTATAGGAGGATAAGCCATTAACGGGGCATCTAATTTAGATTTTTCACTTTTCAGATGTGGAAACAAAGGCCCAGGGAAAGTGTCTTAGCTAAGATTTCATAGCATATGGCAGAATGAGGACCAGAGTTCGGGTCTTTTAATGAGTTTTGTTTTGTTTTAATCATTCACATTGGATGAATATTTCTAAACCAAACCCTTCAAAACTAAACACTTTAGTAGTAGAAAGCCATTCATAGGGCAAGATGTAGACTTATGATAAATATTTTAGAGAGTCATATTAGCCAAGTTCTGTGATTTAATCTATTTTTTTTCTTTAGAGAGAGCAAGTGTGAGCGGGGAACGGGGGTGTTGGGAGGGGCAGAGAAAGAGGGAGAGAGAGGGAAGAGAATCTTAAGCAGTCTCCACGCTCAGCATGCAACGACCCTGAGATTATGACCTGAGCCAAAATCAGGGGTCGGACACTTAACCAACTGAGCCATCTAGGCACCCCTAATCTATTTTTCAAAATACCAATTCTTGTACAATGTTACACATTATACTTTTTTCTTTCTTTAGTGAAAAGAATGGTCTTTAATGTTTTGGCAGTCTTTTTCAGCCCAGAATAAACATGAAATAAGCAGGCTGGAGTGAAATATTTCACAGTGTACAAAAAGATGGAACTCTTCACAAATTCGCATGTCATGCTTAGGCAGGGGCCATGCTAATCTCTGTATCATTCCGATTTCAGTATACGTGCCGCTGAAGTGAGCACCACATTACACTTTTATACAATGGGACACATTATATGGGAAGATAATAAGAATTTGTTCTGCTCACCCTTAACTATTAAAAGAAAACTTATAGCAACTCTCTAAAATTGATTTTATTTTTCCTTACAGTGGATTTTCAAAAAGTCTTCCTTGTGGCATAATAATGTTTTGCAAAAAGGGTGTGGCTATTTATAGAATTCTTGTCTTTGTTACTAGAAATGAGCACTTTTGAAAAAGGAGAGTTTAGTAGATGGGAAATCAATTTCCACATGAAGGAGGAAAAAGTTTTAAATGTATTAGGAAAATTATAGTAAATGTTTAAAGAAAAAAATGGAACTCAAAGGACATTATTCACTAAAGCCATACTTGTTTGGGATGTATAAAGAATATTTTAGCTAGCTAAAACTTCTCATCTAGTAGACATGGACCTTGTGGTAAAGAGAGTTAAGAGAAAATATTAATATTCCTCAAAATATTAATATTTGGTGAAGCCAAGACATAAAGGGTAATTAAGAAACCAGGGTACGCATGCAAAAGAATGAAACTGGATCACTTCCTTATACCATACACAAAAATAAACTCAAAATGGATTAAAGACCATTTTGAGACCTGAAATCATAAACATCCTGGAAGAGAGCACAGGCAGTAATTTCTCTGACATTGGCCATAGTAATATTTTTCTAGATATGTCTCCCAAAACAAGGGAAACAAAAGCAAGAATAAACTATTGGGACTACATCAAGATAAAAAGGTTCCCATCTGGAACAACACGGATGCAGCTAGAAAGTATAATGCTAAGTGAAATGAGTCAGTCAGAGAAAGACAAATACCATATGATTTCACTCATATGTGGAATTTAAGAAACAAAACGAACAAGCAAAGGAAAACAAAACAGAGAGAGACAAGCCAGGAAACACGCTTAACTATTGGGAACAAACCAATGGTTACCAGAGGGGAGGCGGGTGGGGGATGAGTGAAATAGGTGATGGGGATTAAGAGGAGCACTTGCGAGGAGCACCGGGTGTTGTATGGAAGTGTTGAATCACTATGTTGTACACCTGAAACTAATATAACACTCTATATTAACTATATTGGAATTAAAATAAAAATTTTTTAAAAGCAGTGTAAAAAAATAAAAATAAGCTATTGCACAGGGGTGCCTTGTTGGCTCAGTTGGTGGAGTGTGTGACTCTTAATCTCAGGGTCACGAATTCAAGCCCCCATGTTGGCTGTGGAGATGACTTAAAGAAAAAAAGCTTCTGCACAGCAAAGCAAACAATCAACAAAACAAAACCTACTGAATGGGAGAAGATATTTGCAAATGATATATCTGATAAGAGGTTAATATCCAAAATATTATAAAGAACTTATACAACTCGGGGCGCCTGGGTGGCTCAGATGGTTAAGCGTCTGCCTTCGGCTCAGGTCGTGATCCCAGGATCCTGGGATCGAGTCCCACATCGGACTCCCTGCTCAGCGGGGAGCCTGCTTCTCCCTCTGCCTCTCTCTCTCTCTCTCTCTCTGTCTCTTATGATAAATAAATACATAAATAAATAAATCTTAAAAAAAAAAAGAACTTATACAACTCAACACACACACACACAAACAATCTGATGAAGAAGTGGGCAGAGAACTTGGATAAACATTTTGCCAAAGACATAGATACGGCCAACAGACACATGAAAAGATGCTCAACATCACTTATCATCAGGGAAATGCAAATCAAAACCACAATGAGATTTCACCTCACATCTATCAGAATGGCTAAAATAAAAAACACAAGAAACAACAACAATCGACAAGGATATGGAGAAATAGGGACCC